AAGCTAAATGGAAGGAAAATAATTTACGTAATGTTTACACTCCAGTCGCCAATCAGTGTTCCTGAACTCCTATAGCGGAAACATGCCTGCTGTAGGATTGATGAGCTAAAGGCTCAACCAAGACAAACGTTTTCTAAAAAAAAACCCTCTAATCTCTTACATTTTATTCTAACTTTATCCTATGAATCTTTACATTACAGTTAATTAGTATCACAGAATTACTTAGATGTAACGATCTGGTTATTTACAAGCAAAATGGAGCCTTCAAAGTTCCAATTTGGCTGTAGGTTCTTAAATTTCTGCCTAAATATTTCTTCGATTTAAACTTGATGTGGATGTAAAGGTTTATAAAATAATGTGATGGATTCACAGGAAAAAAGTTTATTTTATTTCTGCTTGGTAATATAATACCTGACATTTATTATCCTGAAAAGAAATCATATTTTTGAATTTTTAGATTGGCTGGTAATTGATTTCTGGCCAATGTATGTCAGCTGCTGAGTTTTGGTGCTTCACTTCATAGAATTCCATGTAAAAACATTTAGTGCAGAATTGAAATGCCTTTTAAAACTTTCAGGAAGCAATCTGCAAGGTATAAGGAGCCTAAGGCTCGCTATAAGCTATCCATGTCTTTTACATAGAAACACAATTCTAAATGGCTGAAAATAATCCCCCAAAACATATTTTATGTCTTTTCCTTGACAACTAGACACAATGGTTTTCTTATTGAATCTTGATGAAACATTCAGTAAATAATTCAAATAATTTCACTTTTGTTTATGATTAGCAATTTATCGCACACTTTATAACCTTTTCCATCTCTACTCTGTGCCCATCAGACACCATGTTTGACTTCCTGGTGTACTTTCCGTGTTACTGACTTGCTGTATTCTCTCGCTTGTTTGTTGCTTATTGTGTTTCATCCAGGAGAACCGGTGTCGTCAGTGGGGATTCAGCCTGTCGGGGCCTTTTTTGTATCAGGAGGGCAAACCAATGTGTGTGAGAGGACACTCTGAATAATCTGACTCTGTTTGTTAGCAGTCGTATCAAGTGAGAGCAGCTGTTGTCTGTTGCAATCTAATCATCAGGATTGCTGCACCTTCCACAGCTGCAGAACCTCGTGGTGCAGAGAGGTCACAGCTACTGATCTCATGCACATTATAGACACATAAGGGGATTAGCCATTCACATTTGAAATGACATTAACATCTACTGGAATCAGTTGTTTGCAATCAACCCACCGCTTTATTTCCCACTTGATGCATTTATTTATTTTTTTTTTTAACAATTTCCATTTCTTCTGAGGTATTTGGGGCATAATGAGTGAGCATGTGGCTCATGTGGTCCCTTCCCTACAGAAGGGACTTTCACTGTTTGGGTCGAACAATCCAACCAATTAATTTTGGAGCCAAACTTCTTGGTGTGAGCTCCTATCAAGCTGAATTAGTGTCAAATCTCTAAAAGGGTGGGGTTGCATTAATTAGTATTAATATCCTGCTCTTTTTGTAGCGTCCCAGCTCAGTCGTTGCATAAGAAGTTAAGCAAAAGCTCATTGACCAAATATATTATTCAGCGAGTGTATCGCTGCAGCGAGACGTTGCTGCCAAATTGAAAATGAGTCCAAGCTTGAATGAATATCTGACATTATAGTGCTGGGAACTTTACAGACGATGTTTCCACTCAACAGTAAAGACCAGAGGAGACACTTGTGTCAGTTTCCTGGCACTTTTATTGTCGTCAGAGTCTGCAGGCCCCACCTATGAGACGATACTACATGCCTGGCTTGTTATAGATAAGGAAAACGCAGTAATCCTGCAGCAGCGTGATATCTCAGTATGAAGGTATGTTTCCTATCTTAATGTTGAGGACACAGCCCCTGAAGGCATCATAGTGTGATTACACCTGGCTAAAGTTTCTTTACTTAATGCTTTATCTAAGTAAAGAGGGCCAAATGGTTCAAGCGCCCTCCTTATAGTTTTCTCCATTCTGTGCTCAAAAGACGATGCTGAATGCTGCAATGACCCAAAGAGTCTCTTCTCAGCAGTGGTTGCAAGAATTAGTTCTGGTTTTTTGAAGCTGTAGTAACTTGGAGGTGAAAGAAGTAAAAAAAAACCTTCATTGTGGCCAGTTGAAGGACTTAAGCTTTACATGTGAAAACACTGAATGTCTTTATTGTGGACAAACTACAGACTTTCATCTCCTAAAGTGTTCCTTGTTATATAATTCCTCCCCCTGCACAAACACAAATGAGTACAATCTAAAGCCTAGTCCACACGTAGCCGTTTTTTTTTAAATAACAAATATCCGCCCCTCCAAAAACGTGCATCCACACCACCTCGTTTAAAAAAAAACTCTGTCCACACGTACCCGGATAAATACGTTGTTAAGGACATGCCAGACCTGTAGGCGGCAGTACTTCCCCCGTTCTTAACCTCGTCCTTCGTCTGTGGTCTTCCGCAAGGAGCAGTAATTCCGCTTGTAAAAACAAACAAGCAAAAAGCGCTTGGACAATTGATAAAGCGAGCGCAGCTCTGAGGGCATCCATGCTGTCGGCTAGTGTAAACACAGGTCGCACACGTGATGTCAGCATTTTTTGTCGCGGAAAGTGACGTTGCAGACCTTAAAACTCCGGTTTTGTCCGTCCACACGCAGACACCCAAAACGGAGAAAACGCAGATCTTCACTTTGGCCGGAGTTTTTAAAAAGATCCGTTTTTGTGTGAAAAAACTCAGTTTTCGTGTGGATGACAGGCCAAAACGTAGAAAAATAAATATCTACGTTTTGGCAGATCCCCGGCTACGTGTGGACAGGGCCTAAGCACAGTCCTGACTTTTGTAATTCTCCCAAAGCCATTAAATAAAAAGTAATTGTGTGTGAAATGACTTGGAAAAGTTATAAAAGAGTCTTCTTCATTAATTGGACCTTTTGATGGTGGCAACGACACATTTGATGTACAATTTAATGATGTTTTGTGAATTTGTTTGCTCTACGGGATGTAGGATTTAAAAACTGCTTTGGAAAGATGAATGCAGAGACGGACCATTTAACCAGATTCAAGTGGTCGATTTACCTCCTCAGCGTGTCTTTGAGTTCTGCAGAAATCTGGTAATCACCTGTTACTTTAGACCAGGTGTGTTGAAACTGAGAAACATTTAAAGCATGCAGGATGATTGCCCATGGCGACTGAAACCACCCAGCTCTGAGCTAATTGCTTGTCAAGAAAAAAGTATTTTTTACATTCTGAATCGTCTTTTCTGATGAACTTTCACACAACTTTCACGTTGCTTGCTAAGGTTGGGCGATTGGACGACTTTATCGACCGCTGACGATAAGCCGAGCCCTTCACTGATACTGTAGAGCGGTGTTTCCTATCCCTGGTCCTCAGCGCCTCCCTGTCCTGCATGTTTTCTATGTTGCTGTTACAACAGCATCGTTTCTCTGCTGCCTCACACCCGACTTAAATGAATGCGTGACTCACAGGCCTCTGCAGCACTTGATGCCATCCTAAGGAGGCAAATATGTGAACCGGGTGTGCTGTGGCAGAGATGTGGAAAACATGCAGTAGAGGACCAGGGTTGAGAAACGCTGCTGTCGAAGAACTTGTTGAGATGAAAACAAATCCATTGTTGTTCCGTTTTGAAAATCTCTCTCAGGATGATTTAAATTGTCATATGTGTTGTTTTATAAGGTTAAATTAGATATTTTTCAACCAATTCCGATCTTTTGAAAATCGTTTGATCGGGCCTGATTTCCGATCACATGATTGGATCGGAGCATCCCTATAATGTACAATTTATTGCTGTGTAAATATTTACACAATCTAATAGACTCATGACATTTTTAAGATCACATTTTTTTATGATTAGAGTTGGGCTGCATGGTGGCGCAGTTGTTAGCATTGTTGGCTCGCAGCAGGAAGGTTGCCGGTTCAAAACCCGGCAGCAGTCTATCTGCGTGGAGTTGCTTGTTCTCCCCATGCATGCTTGGGTTTTCTCCGGGTACTCCGGTTTCCCCCACAGATCACAACATGCCCTATAGGTTAACAATCGTACGTTGCTCTGCCAAATAAATAAACAAACACAATCATGCACCGAAGATTTTCCGCCAAAAAGGTATTTTTTAGGGTAATTTTCGGCTGAAATTTTTCACTGGCCAAATTTTCGGTTCCAGCCAAGAATTTTCACTTCGGTGCGTCTCTAATTAGAGTGAATCATTTTGTAGCCTCTCAGACGAGCTATTAGCTTGTCAGCCCAGTCAGAACGAATCTCTGTTTCTTTTAACTGAAGCCATTCATAGAGCTATTAATAACAGAGCAGATTGTTGAACTGTTTACACACCAAGCAGCTTCTAATATGAAGCTTTCATGATAAATGAGTTTTAAACAAGCTGTTCTAGTTGTACACACAATAATGCTGCTCCCCATGTTCATAATCCACTTCATCTACATTGAATTCTTCCTGGGAAGCTGGGAAGTGTACATCGAAGGTGAAAGCATTAGTCCGTTGTTTTTCTGTCGCACACACACACCCGTCACTGACAAATCACATTAAGTCTGGAACCAAGATGTGACATTCTAACTAGTTCTCTAACATCACAACAGCCATTAGGAATGCAAGTACACAAATCTGTGATGGTTCCCTTTTTTTAAATGTAGAACAGCTGCACAATGATCATCACTTTCATCTCCGGGCATCTGAAGCAGCTGCAGCCCGACTCACATGCTTCCTTAAACATATGCAGGAAATTTCACTCAATATTCTGCCATCTTGCACACTCAAACTCTTGAATTACGATAAAAGAAAGTGCCGTGCCCTCGTGACAGGAATAGCAAATGAAACTGTGTGTGCTTTCATGTGTAGTTTATTTTAGGCTCTGGGATAGTGTCTGAAAATAGCATTAGATTAGCTTATTTCCATTTGTTGTTCTCCCTTTGCTTTTTCCAGAGGTAATGATCATGTTTCCTGACTTGGATTGTGTGTGTCTGTTTGTGTGTGCTTCAGCAGGAGCTACTGCCTGCTACTATCACCCGTCAGACTGTCAGGAGAGCGCATGGCCTACGGTCAGCAGCCCACTCCACACTCTTCACCCAGCCTACCAGCACCCTGTCTCCACAGGTTAGTGTCTGTGCTCGCCTGCTTTTATACTTCTGGAAGTAAAAGAAATTTAGCCTTTTTACTTTTGGGCCTTATATCGATGTTTAATTGAAAAAAGGTCTAGTCAGTGATGTGCCGCTCGTTGATGGCATCACAGGTTTGACCTGTTCACGGGATCGTTGAGTCTTACAAACAAATTCCTGCAGCATTCACACAACACAGGAAACTCTTGGAGAACTTTAAGGAACAGACAACCAGGAGCTCACTGGACATGTGTGCAGCATTTCTACAAGAAGTGCACAACTCTACCACAAAATAGATTCTTCAGCAAGTTGGATTTCAGTGAGACACCGGCCTTATTTAACCCCAGTGATTAAAAAAACATTGGAGTTTGGTGGCAGGAGAATCTCCTCTCTGCTTTATGCAGAGGATGTGGTGCTCCTAGCTTCATCAGGCTCTGACCTACAGCTCTTGCTGGGGAGGTTTGCAGCCGAGTGTGAAGTGGCTGGGATCAGGATCAGCACCTCTAAGTCTGAGACCACGGAAGGGCGGCTTTCCAACTCCAGGTCTGGAGAGAGGTCTACAGGCTGATTTATGCTTCTCCGTCTGCGCCAGTGCAGAGACACGCAACGCCATTATCCGTCCCTGCGTAGGGCCCCGGCAGGCACGCAAGTACATACGGAGTCAAGCTCATTTTTTAAAACATCCGTCGAACGAGACGGTGAACGCAAGCTTGTGATTGGTCAGGGCTTATGATTGTCGTCTACACCGCCGCCATTGCGCCCTCAAAAACATAAAGAGAGCCGAGGATAACTAGCAGCAGACCCGGAGCAGCTTGAAGAATACCTCGCGAAAAAACTCTAAAACATGAACGTTTAATTCCCCCGTGACTGGAGGAGTGAAAAGATGTGCAGCAAGCGTTTTATTTGTGGATGGAAATGACAGGAAATGTGGGTTTAGAGGTGGGGAGGGCATGAAGAGGTGGAGGAGAAAGAGACAAATATGTCCGTGTTAAAAGTCTCTTATACACAAAAAAAAAAAAAACACAATATAAACACACTATCTTGGACCGATACATGACAGGATACCACAGAACAGCGCTACGCCCTCTGTTGTCCTGGTGAGGAATTGCTTTACAACACTCTCCAGGAGACGGAGAAGTATGAGAGCAAAACGCTTCCGTCAATCCGTGCGTGTCTGTTCCTTGCAGAGCTGATGGAGAAGCATGAATCAGGCTTAAGTCTCTGGGCGACGCCATATTAGATGCCATGTTTCCTTCTACAGGAGGACAAAAAGCATTTACTGATTTGTAACAAACTGGTACAAAACTTTCACCATTCATAAATGTTGTTGTTTTACGCATTTACCTCTTTACTTATTGCCACTAATGAAAGGGAGTCTGATTTAATTTTGCTGAAGTTTGCACTCCCAAGAGCTTTTTGACCCTAATGGGGATCCGTTGGTAAGGTCTTACTCCAACACAAAAATACAGCTTGCTTGCAAAAATGTAGGTATCTACTTACCCCCTATCTCCAGGAAAAATGCACACTGTCACTTAAAGATGCCAGTTTTGTTAATTAAAGCAGAAATCCAGAGTTTTATCTTTGAGGACACCATCTACAGGTGGAAAAAATGTACTGCACCTTAAGCTCCGCCCCTGATCTCCGTGATTGCCGCTGGAAGCAACGCCTCATGTTGGTCAACGCGCACCTCTAGACAGTCAACAGAGCTAAAAACCGTTGTTTTATAATTATTCTCACATTGTGCTTTTTATTCTACGGGAAGGGGGCGGGCTTAGCAAATAAGCCGTATTTCCTATTATATCACAGTCCAGGGTTTACTTTTTCAGGTTTCTAAAAAAAAATCATGCACAATTCCTGAAAGGGGGAAACTCCCACTTATAAACATTTACAGAGCACGAACAGTGCATGCAAGTTATTTCTGATATTTATTGTGAATCCAGATCTCAGAGTTCACATTTTCAGCTCAAAATTACACATAATTTGCATTCTTTTTAATTAGTCACATAAGCTCCCATAATGCTCTTGCAGCTTTTTCTTTGCACTCACTGAACTGCCTGGTTCTCATGAGGCTGTCAAATCTGCATGAAACAAATTCTTCATTCATTTCCTTCTTTTGAGTCAGTTGGAGATTTGTTTGCTGGAAATTGAGACTTCCAACTCCTTAATCTGCAGACGGTGACCCTGTCATGATATGTTTTCTTTACCTAATCCTGTCCGTGCTGAGTATATTTACAAGAAAAACCCGTATGTGAACAAGAATGTGAAAGTCTTGTCGGTTTTTCTGGGGAATTACATGAAGATTAGGACTAAACTGTCACAGTGTTCTCAGGTCGGGGTGTTAGAAACATGGCGTCTCAGCTGAACACGACTGAGAGAGACGTCTCACCGCTTTGTCCTTTGCCTCATCTTCCAACTTTGCTTCGTCAGACCGCAACTTCTTGGTATTCCTGTGAGTAACGGCCAGCTGGAATCCAGTAGAGCCGACGCATTATGTTAAAGAGATCAGCCCAAGGTTAGGCGTGTACGTTTTTCTCCAGGAAATGCACTTGGCCCACCAACAAACTTGCACGGAATGAAAATTTTATGACGAGAGCAGGATATTTGTTACTTGAGTGCTTGCAGCTCGCGCGCTGCAGATGCCGGTGCATTATCGCCCCCACCCCCAGCAGCCCCCGCGCTGAGCCAGTTGTGTGTTTTGTGCTGTTGCTTGGATGGGAGGGTCCGGCGGGCTTTGTTTGAGCTGCTGCGTGTGTGTTTATGTGTCAGTGGGTTATACAAAATGGAGTGAGCCGACACGGGTTTGCACAGGCTGGGGGTGGCTGAGAATGAACTGTGTTTACATTTTACATAGAGGGCTGCTCAGAGGGAACGCTGGTGAGTGAGAACACGAGGAGATGTATACATTACACATCGGTAGTGGAAACATCCGCTATGGCAGGGGTCGGCAACCTTTCCCCATCAAAGAGCCATTATTACCCATTTCCCACAGTAAAGAAAACACTGGGAGCCACAGCAGCCGCGGCGTTGTGGGCGGGGCCTACCCTCAGACAGCAGAGCGCTGCTTTAACCATCACAACAGGTGACAGCAACCAATACCAGTCGCTCTTGTACCTCAAAGTTATCTTTCAACAGAAGATAATTAATAAAACAGTTTGTATAAAATTGATCCTAAAGTTGTAGCCCGTCTGTGCTACAATAGTTCGATTTTTTTCACCCTGCTAGTGGTTTTATTAGTTGAGCAGGTGACGCTTTTTGAGGCATCACACATAACTGTTCAGAATACAAATCCAGGCTCTGTCTCGTTGGACTGTTGTAATTCAACTTTGTACTGAACTAAACTTTGTATTAAACATTGTTGAAAAGGTAAGAAAAGGTAATTAGCTTTTTTCCCCCTCGTTTCCACTGACGGAGATAACGGCGCGGCGTGCGTGGCTCTGGTGTTCATCAGGTTTCATGTTTCTGGTTGCAACAATCTTCACTAGAAGGTAAAACGGTTAAATGACAGGGTTCGCACTGACCCGGTGTTTCCCGTATTTATTTTGACGGAGAAATCTCAAGCCTGCAGATGCGCTGACATTTTAACGCACATCGTGGAGGTAGCTACATCAATCAGGAAAAGATTCCCATCAGAACATCTGAGATGGACACTGAGCTCAGCGCAGCTCACTGTCAGCGCACGCGTAAGGTGAACAGCGAGCTGAAGATAGATCGGGGGCTTGGAGCGCGTCGCAGAACCAGAACCATGCAGGAAGATTCTGTGTTTTCTCAACCCGGTCTCTCAGAGACTTGTCACTTAAAAAATGTTCCCTGGTTATGAATCTTTGGCTGAATAGCGCCTGTTCCTGTCTCCAACACTGCAACGCATCCATGAGCCTGTCTGAGGAACAGTCCAGAATCTCATATCTAGCTCAGAAAGCTCCTATAGACATTTGATTACGCACAAGCAGGTGACCTGTTCATGTTTACGCAGACAATCTTTAAATTTAGAATTGGCTACAGATGAAAATATGAATAAAATACATTGTAATTAAATATTCCCTAATTAGTTTACAAGCAGAGAGCCGCACCAGATGGATGAAAGAGCCGCGGGTTGCCGACCCCTGCGCTATGGGCTGAAGGTCTTGTTCACAACTGCATGAGACAGCATGGCTGATGGGGAGTTAGTGCAGAGGAGTGTCTAAACTCATGTACCCTCCAGAGAAAGCTGGGGCGGGGTGCATGAGGCTCAGCAGGGAGTGTCTCCCTGCCAGGTCTTGATAGGTGAAGCTGTGCATGATTTTGTTACTGTTGTATTTCCATAGAAATCCTGTCACACGAGTGTCGTCTAACATTTGTTTTGCTCTCTTAACCCAACATCTTTCATTTCCAAGTCCTCTTTCTGCTCCTGCATTGCTGCAGTACAGCACACTTGTCTTCTCCTTGGCGAAGCCAGAACCTCCCTGCCTCCCTCCCCCATTCTTCTCCCTGTCGTTTTCTTGGCATCCTTCGGTTTAGCTGTGTTTTCCCGTGAGGTCTGATGGGTCACGGCTGTGTACGCCCTCACAGGACAGAGATGCTGTTCTCGAACTCCTCGACCCATCTGCAGCTCGGCGCCTCCGGGAGAAGAGCTGTCACAGCTGTCAAAAAACTAAACGGGACGTTGGCCCATCGTCACGTCGCTTCACGTGTTTGGAGCTGCGGGGTTTGAAAATTGACTGGTGGTAAGGGGGGCTGTGCATTTGCAGGTTCAGGAAAACAGGCTGATAAAGATGTAGCAAGAAAGAAATGGAATGAAAACAACATTGTGTTTGCATTCTGCAAAGCTGCCGAGTCCATCACACTCACTGGACTTTGAATCTGTTTACCAAAGCTGCTTGTATTAAAACCTGAAAGCAGAAGGATCAGATTCAAGTTTCACCACTTCAAGGGTTAATCGCTCTTTCTTATCCCTGCATACTGGGATGTTGCCAGGAGTTCCAACTTGGCCACATTGTCCAGGGTCTGCAGGTGGGTGTAGTG